TTTTTTTTTTTTCTGCTTAAGTTTAATTCATTGAATTGATTGGATTCATCAAATTATAATAAATAACAATTAATTTGAAAGACAATATTTTCAGATTTTCCACTCGCCACTGAATATACGTAAAAGGGGTATTTCACTATGAAAAATTGAGAATATTTGCAAATTTTCGAGTTTATTTTATGACGCGCAACGCAATAAGGATATTATTTTTTAAACAATCTTAAGAGAAAATATTCACTGTACTATTTAATAGTTCTGGGAAACAGTGGAATATTAATGTTTTTCCGACTGGCCCTCTACTCTATGGGGCAGATAGCAGTGTAGATGCTTAGTCTCTAGCAGCAGGGCGCACAGTAATTAATGTTAGCTAGTGTGTTAATAATGTTAGTTTCAATGCAATGCACACATATGTACGTGCATTCATATCTGGTTGACTATCAAATGTGCAAATATGGAAGTGTTGCAATTGATTTAATTTATTTTCTGTTATCAGTGCCGAAGTTGAAGATAAGAATAAACAAATTTGATTTGATTCAAATAGTCTTATGACCAGCTAATAAAGCACGTGGAGCTATTGAGTTACAGGAAAAGGCTGTCTTGTCTAAGAATTAATATATTCAGAATTAATATATTGTGAAACTTTAAACTTTTTTGAAATTAATATCAAAATAAAAGATGAAAATAAAAATATGTTTGTCTATTAGATCAAATAGAATTCAAATTATTCCAGTTGATGATTACAAAATTGAGATGCATTGATTCAATATTCTTAAGGATCGGTAAATTTAGAAACAAAAATAGATTAACATTTCTTTGTCGAATTTTAAATTTATATACAACTCAACATCATATTGTTGTCTAAAAAGTATGAATGAAGTTCTTATACACTTGGTCAATGGACCTCTTGCCAGTAATATATAGATACTTTGATTTCTTATCTTATCTTTATTTGCTGCGGTTTATTGAATTAAGCCTGTCAGTTGTCAAATATATTGATAACTTACTTTGTGGCTCTAAAAATATCTATGTATTTATTATCTCTAATATTCCGTGTAATTGTTATTTCACAATCATAGCTAATCGAGCTAAAGTTGCAAACCAATTAAATTTAAGCAAACATCGCTCTATGTAATGATGAAATGGAAGGGCATATAGTAGTAATTTAAATTTGTATGAAAGTAAGTTTACAGATTATTTATACTCTCGGACAAGTATTGAGCTATTAGCCCATTGACTTACTATATTATTGTACCCCATTAAATCTATTAAGATTAACTTTAATTTGTTATGATAACAAACTGTATATGGAACATCTAATCATGGGAAAAGTTGAAGAAAAAATTCTTTGGGCTTAGGGAACTATCAATGAATATGAATATAGAGCCAAGAGAAGTATTAGATAGTTGCAAGAAACAATCAGTAGTCACGAAAGCTCTCCGAAAGTTCTAAGCAACTTCATTCAATGTATTTCACTAGCTCTTGTTTTCAGAGAGTCAAAAAGCTTCGGTTTGTGTATTTTGTTGTTATATTGTTCTGGTATTACTTGTTGCGCTCTTCAAATTTTTGGTTCATATGGAGCAGTTGAGGCTTACATTTGGAGGCGAGCAGCCGTATAAATAAACGCTGCGCAAAAACTATTGGATCATTAGAAGCGCGCTGTTAGCTACGGGAAACACAACTACGCAACGACCGTTGAATTGATTTGATTATCTCAATTATATCATTGGAATGTCGAGTGAATCAAAGCCCGACCCCCCCGCCAGCAATGTACCCGACTGGGTGCAGCCCGAACTGTTTGTAGATGTGCTAAAAGAAACAGTCGAAGGCTTCTCCAAAATCAAGAACTTCAAGGCCAACAGCGGCTCAGCAGCAGGTGAAAACTATGCGACGATCATGTTGCGTGTCAACATAGATGTCGAGCTGGAGGGTATGTAGGCACAGCAATCTACTTATCTGAAAGCTCAATATGTGACACTATTTTAGATGGTAAAGAGAAGTCAATATCGTTTATGCTGAAGCTGCCACTTCAATCAGATATGTACAAGCAGATGTTGGAGGCAAACAACATTTTTGAAACAGAGTTCATCATGTACAAGACGATTGTGCCTGAATTGGAACAAATCTATCGGGATGTTGGTGTGGAAGTGAAGTTTGGTGCCAAGGCTTACGAGCTGAAGGGCGCCAAGTCCGATTATATTCTGCTCGAAGATCTGGCACCTAAGGGCTTCAAGAACACCAATCGCACCGAGGGTTTGGATCAAGCACACACAGAATGCGCCCTCAAAAGACTCTCGATGTGGCATGCCGCATCCATGGTGCGTGTGGCCACCAAGGGTGACTATCCAGATAACGTAACATGTGGCTTCTACAAGGAGGAACTGCGTCCAACTATGGATGCGATGAATAAAAGCCTTTCGCAAAGCTTTCTGAAGGCTTGCAAGCAATACGAGGGAAACGAGGAGTACATAGACCAAATAGTAAGTGAATCAAATTGATATACTTAACAAGAGGATGTATTGCTTTATTAATAGATATTTCTTAGATAGAGTTGCTGCCCAAAGTAACGGATGAAATATTCAAAGTGGTTAAAGTCGATTCGCAGCATTTGAATGTGCTCAACCATGGAGACTTCTGGAGTAACAATATGATGTTCTCGCACGATTCCTTTGGCAAGATTAAGGACATATGTTTGGTGGATTTCCAATTACCTAAATGGGGCTGCGTTGCGCAAGATCTTTATTATTTCCTTATATCCTCGACCAAGTTAGAGGATAAGCTCACAAAATTCGATCACTACATTAAGTTCTATCACGATAATCTACTGGAAAATCTGAAGACACTGAAGTATTCCAAGAATGTGCCCACATTGCGTGACTTGCATATAACACTCTTTAAGTACGGCTTCTGGGGTGAGCATTTGATGATGGTTCATTATATAACTTTTACTATGAAAATAAATTGTTTTATTATTCCTTTCATAGGATACCTGACCGCCACAGGTGTGATGACCGCTGTTTTGGTCGACCCCACGGATGCGGCTAACCTGGACAACTTTCTCAGTGACAGCACAGAGGGCGCAGACTTCAAGACTCTGCTATATAACAATGCTCGCTACCGCAAACATATCCAGGAAATTCTACCTTGGTTGCACAATCGTGGCGCACTACAAGGATTTTAAAAAGTCTCTTATCACATGTACTTGATAAAAATATCAAAGCAAACAAAAATACACATTTTTGATTTGTATTTATCGGTATTATCAATTCTGCTGCGTCACAACTATTAATTATAATAATAGCTGTATCATTGTGACCAATGAAATTATTGTGTTCTGATAAGAAATTTGCACAAATTGTAATAAATTTTGTTCTGTGTTTGGTTAGAAAAACTGGTTTTCATTGGAGTTCCTAAGTCAATCAACGATGCAAATTGCAAGAGAATATTCTATAATTAGATGTCTCACATTTTACTTAAAAGCTCATCTAAAAGCTTGCCGAATAGAAGCATCGGATGAAAATGAAACAGCACGAATCAACGTTTGATCTCTCAATAAGTATAATTATTATTACACTTACCCCGTTAAACATGTGAGCTCAATAAATACTAGATTTATTTTACTGTATGTAACGGGAAAATTAAAAAAAAATGTATTTACTAACCCTACATAGTGTAAATATAATCCTTTTAAGAGTAGCACTTCATTTACTTATATCCCCTCAAACTACAAAAATCTCAATAAGTTTGACAATTAACTACTGCAGTAATACTATATGCGGATTCCCAGAACCATTAACTGCTCCCTTCACATCACTTTGGCAAAAACCCATTTGTGTTTGCTTAAAGATTTTGTCACCACACGGGCAGAAAACCACAGCAAATAATTTAAATACCGAAGTACCCAAATGAATAAAAAGCCAATCTGAAAGAGAAATAATAATAAATATATACAACTATAAGTACATTTTTCTATTTGTACCCATTATATTTCGGATATGTTCCTAAGGCCGTTGCCAGCTAGATATTAGTAAATATTTTTGCTTTTATATTGCTATAGCGACTTAGAACCGATATTTCTATTTCAATTTTTAATTTCAATTAATTTCACTATTCGTTATTAATACAGATATATATAAATAGGCCTCTTCTTCTTAGATATTTATGACATATGGCATATGCGATAACAGAAACGATATTAAATTTACAATCTATTGTTGATAATGAGGCAGGATCATCAATCTTTAGATCGCCATCGTCTAATCTTATTTTTTTTTTTTTAACATTTTTCAAGAGATTTTTAATTTTATATAAAGCTCAAATTCTTTCAAATTAAAAATTGAATTTTTGATTTGTAATATGAAACATCTATTTACTATTCCTCACTAACAATTGGAATACGCCCATTTGAGCTTCGACGTCCATTAGTTACTTTCCAAACATGGATATTAATTAGTATTGATAACGTGGTAGGGCGATTTAGCAACAACTCGGGAATTAAGCTAGTAAGCTAATAAGTCTTGGTCTGTTCCAATAGGTATTGACGTTTATCATTGACACTGAAAGGCAATTAAAGTTCAAGTTAAGTTCATGTAAACTTGGCATGATAATAAACGTAATCAGCCTCGAGCACCATTCACAATGGGCGCACTAATAACCATAGCTAAACGGGGTCAATGAACCGTCTACTAATATTCCAGCGCCAAATGCATCGACAGAGAGTTCCAAGAAAGCACTCAAACATCGAAAGCTCTCTTTAATTCCCGAATAACGTTCTCAGAGACTGTAGAAAAGCTTTAGTATTTGCATTTTGTTGTTTTTATACCCGGAACTTGTTAAGAATCTAAAAGTCAGGGTATAACTGATTTGGGCAATTGCATCCAATTGCACTGCATGCAGAAGATAATGGTTGGTAGAGACATTACGTGAATATTTCGTCGATCAGGACAACGAGCTGAGTCGGTATATAGGCCTATACCGATCTGTTATAGGTACTACAATCAAATATATAGTCTCCTTTCTCGATGTAGGTATAAGATAGTGGGGTACTCCCGACAACTGCACTTTTATTTGCTTTATGAGTAGTAGTTGCACTCTGCTCACTTTTCGATTCAGATAGTATGTTTTGAGCATTTGAGCGTACATTTGGAGCGAAAGACAGTATAAATAATCGCTGCGTTCAACTATTGGAATATTAGAAAGGCGCTTTTAACTGCTGCCACAACGGTGCAACGCCCGTGTTATTAGTTTTATAAACTCAATCATCTAGCTGGAATGTCGACAGAACCAAAGGCCGATCCGACAGCCAGCAATGTGCCCGACTGGGTGCAGCCCGACCTATTTGAGGATGTTCTGAAGGAGACGGTGCAAGGCTTCTCCAAAATCAAGAGTTTTAAAGTCATCAGAGGGTCGGCAGCAGGAGAAAACTATACTACTATAATGTTTCGACTGCATATTGTTGTCGAATTGGAGGGTATGTCAGTTGTTCGATTCACTTGACTTAAAACCTCATTACGTGAAAGCTTTGCAGATGGTAAGGAGAAACTAGTTTCGTACATGCTCAAGGTACCGCATCAGATGGAGATCTTTCAGAAGTTTATGGAGATTAACAACATCTTTGTCAACGAATTCGACATGTACAAGACGATTGTGCCTGAGCTGGAGCAAATCTATCGGGATGCTGGTATAGAGGTGAAATTTGGTGCCAACGCATATGAGCTGAAGGGAGTCCAGTCTGATTATGTACTGCTTGAGGATCTAGCACCTAAGGGCTTCAGGAATACCAATCGCATTGATGGCCTGGATCAGGACCATGTTGAGTGTGCTCTCAAAAGGCTGGCGATGTGGCATGCCGCATCCATGGTACGTGTAGCTACCAAGGGTGACTATCCCGATTACATAGTGCGTTCCTACTACAAGAAAGAACTGATTCCCATTCTAACTGACGTCAATACAAGTCTTGCCCAAAACTTTCTTAAAGCGTGTAGGAAGTACGAAAACAATGAGGAGTACATAGACAAAATAGTAAGGAAATGAATTTATTATTAGCTGCCTGCTGCTCATAACTATATTCTATCAGGTTGAGTTGGTACCCAAAATAACTGAAGAAATATTCAAAATGGCAGTGGTCGACACAAACTTCTTGAATGTCCTAAACCATGGTGACTTTTGGAGTAACAATATGATGTACTCTTACGACTGCTTTGGCAAAATCAAGGACCTTATGTTGGTGGATTTCCAAGTTCCGAAGTGGGGCAGTGTCGCACAGGATCTGATATATTTCCTGATATCGTCGACCAAATTCGACGATAAGCTTACCAAATTTGACAGCAACATCAAGTTTTATTATGACAATCTAGTTGAGAATCTGAACATATTAAAGTACTCCAGAAGCATGCCTCTACTACGCGAGCTGCACATAACGATCTACAAGTACGGCTTCTGGGGTGAGTTGATAGTGATTATATCTAGTCTATTTCTGGTATCAAATAAATATAACTACTATTTTCCAGGTTACTTGACCGCCACTGGCGCAATGAGCACCGTTCTAGTGGACTCTACGGATACGGCCAGTTTTGAGAACTTTCTCAGCGACTCCACGGAGGGCACCGATTTCAAGAACCTGCTTTATACTAATTCACGATATCTGAAACATATTCAGGCCGTGTTGCCCTGGTTGCTTAATCGTGGTGCACTTCAGGGATTCTAACCAGTGCTCTGTCTATGAAAAAAGGTTTTTATGAATCACTTAGCCCCACTGTCAGGCTTTAAATTAAAGTGTTGTACTTAAATATGAAATTTACAAGGTATTTCTGATGATTTAGTTTCCAATTTTGCCTTTTTCAAAGAACGTAAATTATAAAAACCGATGATCAAAATATACCTGTTGTACAGAAACATTTTCTTGGATGGGTTCAGCGTAAAAATTCTACTTTGGTATTTGAGAGCCAAACCTTAAACTACGATTGCCTCGCCAATGAGACGAATGAGAAGAGAGCGCAATAATTGTTTACGAAAGAGCGCACTACGTACACAAACTTTTTATAGAGAGATCTGAAAGCTTTCTATCTATAAAGCGAGCAAAAAAGCTTTTGCATTATTAGAAGTTCGTCGGCAAGCATCAGAAGCATAGCAGCAGAAGCCGAGATACAGATACCATTCATTTTTTGTCGCTTGAACTAAATAAATAATAATAATAAAATGCCCGATGACGTTAAAACCAATACTGCGAACAGCACAGTTCCCGACTGGGTGCAACCGGATGCATTTGTGGATCTCCTAAAGAGCTCTGTCAAAGGATTTTCGAGAATAAAGAACTTCAAGGTCAGCAGCGGAGTTGGAGCTGGCGAGAACTATTCGACAGTCATGTTGCGCGTGAGCATTGATGTGGAGTTGGAGGGTAACTCAATTGATAAGCGATCATAAGTGGTCCATATAAGTATGCCTATGTATATTTCAGATGGCACCGAAAGGCCTGTATCCTACATGCTGAAAGTGCCGCATGAGGCGGAATTGTTTAAGATGTTGATGCGGCAGCACAATATGTTTGATGTAGAGCGCAATATGTACAACATCTATGTGCCTGAAATGGAGCAACTGTATCGTGATGCTGGAGTGGACATTAAGTTCGGTGCTCAGGCCTATTCGGTGAAGGGTGCCACAACTGAGTATATACTGCTCGAGGATCTGTCGCCTAGAGGATTCAAGAACAGCAATCGCTTGGAGGGCCTGGATCAGGTACATACAGAGGCTGCTCTGCAAAGGCTAGCCATGTGGCATGCCGCATCCGCAGTGCGTGCGGCCATCAAAGGCGCCTATCCGGATCAGGTTCTAATGGGCTTCTATAAGGAGGAGAACAAAATTATGATGTGCGAGATGAACAAGCAAATGACTTCGAATTTCCTCAATTGCTGTGTCACTTACGACGGCCATGAAGAATACTTGGAGCAAGTGGTAAATATTGTCTACGTCTGTACCGTTCAAAATTTTCTCACTATCTTGTTTTCGTTTTCTCATCTAGCGAGCCCTGCAGCCCAGGGCCACCGAAGAGATTTTTAAGAGGTCCAAGCCCGATCCCAACGAATTCAATGCACTAAATCATGGTGACTTTTGGAGCAATAATATTATGTACTCCCATGATTCCTTTGGCAAAATCAAGGAGACATATCTAATAGATTTTCAACTACCCAAATTCGGCACGGTCGCACAGGACTTGTATTACTTTCTCCTGTCCTCGACTAAATTCGAGGACAAGCTGACTAAGTTCGATTACTATGTGAAGTTCTATCATGAAAATCTGTTGGAAAATCTTAAACTACTCAAGTATCCGAAAACCCTGCCCACCTTATGTGATTTACACATATCGCTCTTCAAACATGGACTTTGGGGTTTGTATTATTATTTTCAATTACTAAGCTCTTCCTAACTAAATTAACTGTAATCTATTTGTAGGATTCTATACAGCCATATCTGTTATGAGTGGCATTTTGCTTGATCCCACTGAATCAGCCAGGGCTGAACACTTTGCCAGTGATTCAGTTGAGGCCCAAGACTTCAAGAACTTGCTCTATTCCAATGCACGCTATCGCAAGCATATCCAGGTAGTAATGCCCTGGCTATTTAATCGTGGTGCTCTAGAGCTGTAATTGGTAACGTAAGACAGGCGTCAGTTCAACTGAACTGTGTTGCACCTTATCAGCAATTGATTAATTCAAGTATTATTAACTTGATAGTGGTCTCCCACGATGATAAAGTTCCATGTTGTGTAATATATATAGAAAACTAATAAATATGTGTACTTTTTATGTAATTTTAACTAACCTATGATCTATACAAGGAATATATTTTTGAGATGAAAATAAAGAACTTTTAGCATGCAAATAACGAACTCAGCAAATTCAAAGAGAATCAGATACAGATAAAATAAAAAAATAAAAACATTCATTGATGTATGTTTATTTACATTTTTCAATAAGATGAAATTACACTTGTAAGATGATTGAAAAATGTGTAAAAATATATGTGATAGAAATTCTAAAAGCTGGTATTATTTGAAAGTATATTTCATATTCCTGTATTTATACAAAAGAATATTATGTACCAACTCGAATTAAGTTTGCCCTTATTTTCGGAGCACTGCTGGGTAGAAGATTTCATCTTATTTTAAAATAATTTCATTTAGACTTGTATTTACAAATTATGATTTGTGCAATAATATAAATTGTGATCAAAAAGGAAATATGTATATATTGTATATACATATGTATAAACATTTAGAACTCAGCTGGAAGCTTTTCAGCAATATTCCGCTCTCTGAATCATGTTTACTTAATTTACTGCATTGCTTTTGCTATGCATTTTGCGACTATGTCAGCAAAAACGCACAAAAAGCTTTACATTTGTATTGTATTTGTGTAAATAACATCAATGTCTAGGTTAAGAGACAGAGACAGAATGTTAGACAGAAAAGCTTTCGACCATGACAACAAATCACAACAGATATTTACAGACTCTCAGTTGTACACATTGTGGAAGCTCTGGAAAGCTCTTGCAAGGCCTACAAATGCAGTAGGGTCGTCACAGTTATTATTGGGCGATAATAGCGTAGTAGCATCTTAAAAGCTAGCCAAGTTAGCTATTGCAAATAGTAAGACTTGAATCAATCCATTATCAAATTTGGCAGATATATTTGACTACATAGCTATATAGTTATGGTCAAAGATTAGTATAACTGGCCATGACAGCAGAAGCGAGTATTCAGGTCCCCATCTGGCTGAAGCAAGTATATATGGAACTATATACCATATATACTAACCCTCCAACACAATATACAGCTCAAAATTGTAGAGCTTATGTTTAGCTTAAACCATGCCGATCCAGGGATTCAATGCGTTGACTCGGGGCTCCTAAATTACGAGAGCCAATCACAACCTATACCGCGTTTCACCACAATTGCTTATAATCTCTCTCTAATCTACGCAATTGGATCTCATATATATAGAAAAATTTCGACTCTGCGCTCTATACACGCTCAACTAGTCAAATATGGTTTCGTTGGCTAGATTTCGCGATCTCCAACACGATACGATACGATTCACTGTACTCAGAACGTTCTCTTTCGTCTTGTGCTCTTTAGGTTATCACGTTTGTCTGATCGTCTGTCCATCCATATCGCTCGATCACACCGAAGATGCAAATTTAAGGGATTTTGTTAGAATCTGGATAGTTTTCTAATAGAGTTAATCTTGACAGACAGAAAATTAATATTCGCAATATACATATAGTAGAGAAGAGAAATGCATATGGAAAAGAGAGTTGAATTCAGTTTAGTTTAGAAACATAAAGCTTTCAGAATGCTTATGTAGATAAAGCTTTCATGGGAAATTTGTATACATATTAATTAATTTATTTTGCCATACAGATAATCTTGCTTTTCCTTTTTTGGCATGACTTGATCGACTCACCATTCAAGGTACTAACTACCTAAACAGAATGGCAAGCGTCAGAGAAAGGCTTTATAACCTACTCAACATTCAAGATAGAGGTACCTTACATATGTTTTTATTTATATAGATGTATGTATGTATACTATATACCCCTCCTATAAGTACGTAGATTGTTGTCTATCACATGTCCAAGTGAATCACAGTGCACGACACGAGCAGAAGCAATTAATAAAGAATCACCCAATAATTAGAGCACGAAGCAAAAGAGCAACGATACTGGAAATGCCGAGACCCGCTTTACGTGCCTTATCAATAGAACAATTGGCGACGCCCCATATCAAATGTTTATTAAAAAATCATATTCAACGAAAGTGTGTGCCTTGACGCTCTTTACGCCGGGTTTGGCGAATAACAATTTACAATATCAACACTAATTGAACACCGATGCGATAACGAGTTTCTCGGCCAATTCCAAATCGGGCCAAGCAGAGTCTTACGCCTAACGCCCGGACCTCATTTGAAATCAACGGTTGACCGAACTGCATTCGATTGTGTGAACAATTCATCATTCGCCGTTAATTAAGGAAAAAGGTTTGTTGTGCGTATCTCTCCCTCGACTGTACGGGGCTGCTTTTGAATTGATATTGTGTGTGAGAGCATCTGAACCAGTTCTTCGTTGTGCCAGACACAGTGGAGAAGTCGAATAGAAATTTGTACTAAAGAAAAACTCAATTTGAATTGTATTAAATGAAAGCGCAAATCTCTAAGATCTAGTACAACAGAGTGTCATTAAAGACTTTTTACTACAAAGCTGATCGGGTCAAAGTGTTCCAAGAAACGAATTTTAGATAGAAAATATAATTGTATTGTGATAAGAGTTACGAGTTGCCTACGATTAAATTTGGCATCGGGCTTGATCCAAGCAATGCAGTAATACATTCAACTATTAAAATTAGTGTGTGAAATACCAAGCACAAAATATATATCTAAATGTTTCAGATAAAATTGTAGCATTTTCAATATAAACACATATATGTATGTATACACCCATTGCATCACGAGTTTTCCTTTTAATTTCTTTTAATCGGCCAATTTTGCTATTATTATCGATTGGCATTAAAGATAAGACATTTGAGAAATTGTAAAGGCCCAATAATGCAACAGTAGAAATTACTGTTATTAATTTATTACACTTACCGTTTGGAAGGGACTCCCAATGATTGCAATGCTTGAGAGCCCTTTAGTTCAACCGAATTCTGCAGAA